TTGCCTCCAGTCCATTTTTTTCTCTCCTGAGACTTTACGGGTAAGGGATTCAACCCCCTTACATAACAACGAGGATGTTATATCATCAAGGTATGTTGACTTTTCAAAGTAGTATTTGTTCTGTTCAAGAGAAATTTCATTTTATAGAATCTTCACGGTCGGCCAGTCTCTATTCTGGAAATAAGGGTCCTAAATCTCTCAACTTGAGTTTTACTCTTGCAATTGAATACCATCATTCATACTATTTTCACCATCTCATTTCGTCATGTTCCTGTCCTGAAAGAACTGTTTATCATGCTATTTCGCTGCTTGGAGGAAACCTAGAGCCTATTGAAATAAGTGTGACCACATATAATGGGTACAGTAATGCTGAGTGACAGGACCTTGAAAGTTGAAAGAGAAACAACATTTCAGCAAAGTATAAAGTATAACAGCTAAGTGGTATCACCTTGTGTAAACATTTCACGTTTAGTTTATCATAATGCAGTTATATTTGATATCTGGAATGTCTAGTAATTATGGTTTTTGGTATAATATGGGGATATAACCTCATTGTGAGGAATTACAACTGTAATTCAACAGATATAATATCTTCCAAGACCACATGTTGGATCTAATGAGACTGCGATATAAATAGTCATTGTACATATTCATCATACATATAATAAGTAAGTATTTACCAGATATCTGATCCTTAACGATGTCACAAATATCAAAGATTCTACAAGTGCTATTTTGATATAATCTGTAAATTCTACAGGTATTTATGATAGGATATTCATACGTTTATAATTTCACCCTAATTCTTAGTAAACGATACTGGGGGTAGTATTTTTTTTATCGCATCAAGGTTGGTACCATAGTGAGGAAGTGTGATGACAGGTGACAGTTTAGGGATGTGAACAGAATAAAGAGGAACACATTGTTGAAATTTCGATTCAATTTGAACATTAGAAATAACATGCATCCATAAATATCACATTTTGGCTACGGGAATTAGAACCACAAAATGGAGAACACACTAGAATCTGTTGAAACCTTCAATGTATGTACATGCAGCAAACGTAGGAGTGAGATGGCAAAAATGGGTGAAGCGATTCGATAATTTTCTGATTGCATCAGGCAAAACAAGCGATGAGAGAAAATAGGCGATGTTACTTCATTGCATAGATGATGAGGCATTTGATATCTTCAGTTCCTTACCAGAACCGCCTCCTCAAATCGACCCTCTAACAAACTCCAATATTGTATACCCAAAATATGATACAGCAAAACTGAAACTGAACAAACATTTATCGAGTTATTGGGATTTGAAATAATCAATGCAAGTAATTTGGAATGACAAGAAGTTGGAATTCAAAATTGATTCATCAAGTAAGGAAAGTTATTTTTGAAAAGGATTATTCTCAGATAAATTATGAACATACAAAGATGGATATATATTTATATAAAGCAATACATTGAGAATTCGCATTCTCTATGTGATGAGAATATTTACTCTTTCTCAGTTGATTCAATAGAAAACAACTACTTTCCTGGCTATATGCCACGACGAACATTGAATTATATCTATTGAACACACACGATAAGAGTTTGAAAATAAAATATAAAAACTTCTGAAATTGAGAATTTGCATTCTCCTTCAGACAAAAATATGTATATGCACACATCATTCTGAATATTCAACAGAAAACAACTACTTTCCTGGCTATTTGCCTCGTCGAACATTGAATTATATCTGATGAACATTCAAAAGGAGAACATGAAAAATGAAGAATAAGATCCTCCAAAATTGAGAATTGACATTCTTCTTCAAATCGGATGAATAATATGATGTATAATATATAGAAATATAACTTACTAATATATATCGTGTGTGTTCGTTCGTCGTGGCATATAGCCAGGAAAGTAGTTGTTTTCTATTGAATCAACTGAGAAAGAGTAAATATTCTCATCACATAGAGAATGCGAATTCTCAATGTATTGCTTTATATAAATATATATCCATCTTTGTATGTTCATAATTTATCTGAGAATAATCCTTTTCAACGCTTTCATACCCAATCAGGGGGTTCAAACTTGAACGATGGAAACTTGTGATTTTTATAGACCTCTAATCGCAGATTCGTGATAGAGTCTCAATTCAGAATTTCTTTCCACGCCCTGTATGATGAATGTCAATTTATCATACACCCAAAAGCAAAGTTATTTTTCTTTATTTCATTATTTCAAATCCCAATAACTCGAAAACAGTTGCTCGCATCAACCTGCACCAGGAATATATTTTTCAGTTATGACTTTTCAAAAGACTCAAAAGATATTTAGGTGGCGCCACCCCCACGAAAGAGACAAACTAACATAAAATTTGATATTGTCATTGAAAAATACCCCTAGATACCAAACTTCATTCGAATATCACAATGATTATTTTGGAATTTATTAACAAAACACAAAAATAAGAATTCAACTTTGACACTCTGTATCTCAGAAACGAATAACTTTCGGACATATATTTATACGAACTTTTCTTCTTATTTTGACGTCAGTAACATGCGTCTGAATTTTCTACACGTACTTAAGAATCACCCTGCATATATGTACAATAATTGTGTTATGATGTACGATTCAAATAATCATCGATGTTATATGGTTCAATATCATTGGCATATAATAATAAAAAGTGGTTGCTTCACTAATTCGAAGTCTGAGATTGCTTTCAGAAATGGAGGTAAATTGTTGAAGAATTTAATACAGGAATATAAATTCATAACAGGAATATTTATTCATAACATACAGGAATATAAAGCACCCAAGCAGTGGTTGCGCGCTCGACTAGCAATATGAACACCGAAAGGTTGCTAGGTTCGAGTCCCCGGCAGAGCAGTTAATTTTTATTTATAAAACGAGTTATTAATTCTGATTGTCGTAGCCTCGGCCGGAGATGATTCCGCTCGATTCGCTGTTGCGTTCCAATTAAGAGTGCTTCTCCTAGGGTGGCGTATGGAGTTAGTAATAAAGGCTACACAGAGCACACATGGTTGAAGGACCTCTCATTAGGCCAATGGCCAGTGATAGTTGATGGGCTGGCACATTATAATTGTTATGTCTAGTCTTATGCATGTGTTGTATTTTGTATTCTTAAAAGTCATGCCGGTTACGTAGAACAAACTTGATGCATTCAAATATAGTGCTGGTACGGTAAGAAGTTCCAATTGTTTGAAGTAGCTCTTACATGAATATAAATATCCAAGTACCTTCATGATGCGAATTGCTCCCCAAAGGATAATACAGTGTGATAGATAATAAAACCGCTTTCCGTGAATGTATTAAAAAAAATAGTGTGATGGGGCAAGTCTGTCTATGATCCAAGGTTCGTATTCAATAGTTACAAATAAAGTTTAGATAGGTAGGACCATAGACCATTCAGAATCTCGCTTTGCTTAAATGAACTGCTTATCGCCTTTATTAAGAATGTGTGGAAAATACTTCAACATTGAACTAAGAGGGCAAAACATCTGCAGAGAGGCCAAGGTCGTTACTGCGCATGCGCATTTCAGCATTAAACAGTTGGATGAGGCCGGAATATCGGAATCATATAGCTGCAATCACTCAATTCATTAACGAAAAATCGAATATGTGGATTTTGTTGGTCTATAATAGAGCACTGAGGACCGAGGTAGTTAATGATATATTTTTCGAAATATCATTGCAAATTTCATGCACGATGTGGATAATTTAATGGAAACGTCAAAAAATAATTCGATTCGAATGCATTGAAACAAATACGATCAGTGTGAATGGAATAGTACCGGGACTTCAACAATGATTGAGCAGCACGGGACCAAAATGTTTTTGCAACCAACACTGCACAGTTGGTAAATAAATGACTGGAAATTATCAGCTGCTATCAAAATAAAACATAGGCGTATGGAATATTTGCATTTGGAATAGCATCTTGAAATTGTTCCCGGCAGGGCAGCTTTGAAGTGAATATGTCCACGTTCCATCATGATTACGAGTACCGCTTCTGAAAGTTGCCATCAGTAAGAAGGCATCCATTCCACCAAGAAAAAAAAATGTTTAACCCTGAAAGGAAAATAATGACATGAGCAATAAAAACAAGAGGTTAATTATTGTTCTTACTTTTTCACAATAATGAATTGGAGATGTAGTTTTGATAAAAACTGTTTTTCGCAAAGTAATAATTGTGAGTAAAATAAACACCATTTAAACTATCATAAAACCCAGGAGAAAAGACAACAAAGCGCTACTGGGTGCTAATGTGCTACAGAATTGCAGTATAAATTTCGGAAATACAAAATTGAAGAGACAGAGTCGGAAGCCAACTTTTCTGTTTCTAATTTTTGAAGGTGTTAAATGTATTGTGGGTTGCATACGAATATGGTCAATAGGGTCACGTGGTGTTTCATCATTGTTGAAGACCCGGTATTGATTGAAAAAGCGTTTGGTATCAACGTCACTAATATCACACGTCACACATAATGGGAAATACACCTCTTTCAGCTCTGAGGGAGAATAAGCCGCTTATCTCTGATTGGGGATACCATTATCCGTTCTAGCAGTGGAAGTCAGAATTTGAGTTAAAAAGTGGCATGAAACAGCCAATTGTGCTCAATTCCGAAACAGGTAATTTCTTGATAGGTATCGGTCAATTGTCATAAGATGACTTTCGATTTTGATCCTATCCTATCCTTTTTGAAATTGTCATTTTCAGAAATGGCTTTCAAAGTATTAAGGCGCCATGATTGAATAGAATGATAATGTCTATAATGAACCTGAGCGGAAAGATACCGGCTCTCTTAAGTGCAGAGGTGGTTTCAATGTGATCACTGAGTGGTTCTCTAGAATATCCTAAATATAGGTACTTGACTAATATTACAAAATTGAGCCGTTCCTGCATTTTATCTATCATCCCAAAGCCCTCCTGTAGTGAGCTGTATCCCAAATCCCTCATTATGATTTTCTCTGTTCCTTGCAAGGCATTCTAGGTAGCTACGCTGGCATCCTCAAAGGCAATCCCATGGGCCAAATGTCAGGTACTGGTCAGTATAAAATTCAACTAACATTATATCTCGCAATTTATTTTCTATAAATGTTTCAATGTTTCCCATTATCTTATGACTGCTGTTTATGATCCAAGAGCCGGCTGCAAATTTCTACCGCCATTTGATAACGGAATGACATGTACCAAAGGCATGAAGAGATAATGTATTCAATCGAGCGGCACCTGTGTCAATCACTTTCCTGATCGAAATGATTGATAATGACACTTGCGGTATTTTGCGCAAAATTTCGTGATTTGATATCGAGATTAAAATTATGCCATCCGATACCAATTGAATGGTAGATCTCAAAACCCTACCTATGCTGCCGTCATTCTGTACATACTTCGTAATGTAATAACTAGTTGAAACAAAATGCAGATAAAAGGGGATAATGTCCCCTTCGTGAACTTCCATACGTGCCGCGATTCAAACGTATCGTGACAGAGCTTCAATATTTCCAAGAATATTTTGCCTCTGTCTCATGATAATATACCAGAATATCGAACCACCATCTCAATCGAAACGATGTTCCATCGGATACTATCCAACAAATGCGAAATATTCTCGGAAATATTGATGCTCTGCCACTAACTTAGATCATCTTTGGTAGAAGTCCATATTGCTCAAAGTGGAGTGAAATATTTCACAGGAAGGAAGGAACGCTCGAAGTCATCTCCACAAATTTTAATGATATTCTGACTAAATCATGAGGGACATGTTCTGTGCGCGATGTAGAATCGCATCCTGCCCGAGGTGGCCCTGCATAAACTAAACACAGCGGATCTAGACAAGGTAAGTCGAAACAATCCCCCAAGTCAAGGTGTGAGAATTCCGTGCCGAGGACTGGATGGTAGCAGGGAGTGCTATCGAGAACGGAGCCTTGGGGACACCTGGCGACCTCCCCAAGTAAAAGCCCTCCCCCTGCAAGGGGCGCTGCAGGGGGCGAAGTCAATTCCCCATTACTCGTGGGATCAATATGAAACCCAAAAAACAAAAAAACAAACCAGGGAGGACTGAGGTAACACCCCAGACCCCAAACGAGGGAACCGATTCGGGACCCTCTACCTTACCGGAGGGAACTCTCAGAGGACCCTCCAACCCATCCTTACCTTCCTCTGGAACCACTCAGGGATCAGAGGGCACACAGAGTAGCTCTTCGGAGCTCTCATTCACCACCCCTCCCGAGGTCACCCCGGTGACCTCGGAAAACACCCCAACGATGGGGGATTCCTCCACGGAGCCCCCCGTCTTTCCTACAAACCCTCTCCCTACCCCCACCCCTAACCTCCCTCAGACCTCCCTAGAAGAAGCCGAGGAACGGCAACGGACCTCGGTAGATGAAAGACTCCAGTGGGCAAGAGTCAAAAAGCCCAACGTATGTGGGGCCGCGAGGAAGCGGAGGAAGAGGGAGCAACAGCGGGGTCTTGTGGCTCCTCCAGGGGGAGCTCCTGATCCAGCAGAGGCTGGCACATCTTCCGATGTTTCCAAGAGAGGATCCTCAACAGGAGCCTCTCAGAAGGATCGGACACCTGCCTCCAAAAGAGGCAGGACACCAGGGTCTACTCCAGTGGAGACCGGGCGGGAGTCCAAAAAACCAAGGGTCGGCAACCCCGGCCAGTGGAGGGCGGACTACGCACAGGTTGCCGCTGGAGATAAAGCTCTGCAGTTGGTCATCACCCAAGAGGATCAGCCTGATGGAGGCTTCGGTGAGGATCAATTGTTAGAGTTCCTCGATGCTGTGGGGGATGCGATTGCAGATATCCCAGCGGGTACTGCACCTCCACAGTTCCAGTCTACACGACTGTGGCGAAGGCAGCTGTTGGTAACTGCTACCAACGAGTTTTCAAAGGAGTGGCTCACCAGGGAGTTGAAGAACATCAAACCCTGGAAAGACGCCACTCTTATTGTCATGGACCCAACAAGGCTCAAGCTACGCCGGGCAATGTTGTGGATCCCTGGCAAAAGGTTTCTGCCTAACCAGGAAATCCTCAAGAGACTGGGGAAGCAGAATCCAAGCCTCTCGGTATCTCCTTGGAGAATCTGGGAGAGGAAAGAGGAGAAGCAAGGACTTCGCCTCGTGGTGGGGATGGACGAAGAGTCTATCAGGCTTCTCAGCCTGATGAACTTCCAGCCCTACTACAGTGCGACACAGGCAACTGTGACCATCCTTGAAGGGCCCATGGCTCAACAAAGAGTGTCTAGGGGTACCGATCAAGGGACCTCTGGAACCCGGACCAGGCGAGCTGTGCCTGCTGCCTCGGCCCCCCAAACCGGAGGAACCTCACGAGGGATCTCTGAAACGGTGGCCGAGGAGGCGCGTACAGAAACGTCAGTCGTGGGTGAAAGAGGAACTGCTGAGGTCGGGGCTCCTACACCTGAAACTGGAGGATCGTCAGACGATACCTCCAGGAGCGACATGGTAGGAGGAACTCCCTCGAGGATCTCCTACCGGTCAGAGTCGCCTATGAGCGATGAGGTCCAACCAATGGACCTCGGAGTGGTGACTGAGGAACCCGAAGGGGGACCTCAGTCAGACCAATAACAGGAGGCCGAGCCGACGAAGGGGGGCGATGGAGCCAAGCTGCGGAGGAGCCACAACAAGTAAGTTAATTTATGTCTGTAAAAGTCCTACAAATTAATTTGCAACATGGGAAAGCCCCAACGGCCCTGGCATGCCGAAGGATCCGAGAGTGGGACATAGATATCCTACTAATACAGGAGCCTTGGACATACCAGGGCAAGATAAGAGGGCTAGGAATGGGCGGAGGAACGGCCCATTACTGTGCCTCTGTCGATACCAGCCCCCGGGCGTGTATTTATACAAAAGGCATGAAGGTCTTCCCTGTCCCAGGATTCTGTACCAGAGACCTGGTGGCGGTAGAGATCCTCATGCCGTTAAATGATCGCACCCAGGAGGTAGTAGTCTGCTCAGCGTATTTTCCGTACGAGACAGCTGCTCCGCCTCGGGAGATCGAATCGTTAGTACGATATTGCGAGGAATCTGGGAAGGGCCTTCTCATCGGCTGTAACTCGAATGCCCACCATATTCTGTGGGGCAGCCGGGACACGAACCCGAGGGGAAGTGCTCTGCTCGAATTCCTCACCACCAGTAATCTGGAAATCATAAATGAGGGCTCAGTACCTACTTTTTTCACGCCTAGGCGGCAATCTGTTATAGATCTTACTCTATGCACTCGAGATATGTTGACCCAGGTTCATTCATGGAAGGTGTCACAAGATGAATCTCTATCAGATCATCGACACATTCTGTTTACGCTGGGGGGTATAAGCGCTCCAGAAAAAGAAAAATATAGGAACCCTCGTGCCACCAAGTGGGACCTCTTTCGGGAGGAACTCAAAGGAAGGCTTGTGGGTCTGCCATCAAAGTACGGGAGTGAGGCCGAAATAGATACAGTGGTGTCGTATCTTAACAAGGCCATCACTTCCTCGTACGAAAACAGCTGTCCACTTAAAGACAGAGCTACCAATGCTAGAACGCCATGGTGGAATTCAGAAATAGAAAACCACCGCAGGCTCACAAGAAAGCTTCTAAACAAAGCGAAACGCACAAACGTACCGCAACACTGGGAAGAATATAAGTCTGCCCAGAGAGCGTACAAAAAAGCCATTCGGCAAGCACAAAGAGACAGTTGGCGTGCCTACTGCGGAGAAATAAACACAATTTCTTCTGCGGCAAGGATATGCAAAGTTCTCTCCAAAGAACCGGGAAGAGGAGTGGGCGTGCTGTCTCTGTCAGATGGTCGAGAAACCACAACGGCAGAGGAAACATTGCAGCACCTCATCTCCACACACTTTCCGGATTCAGAAATATCCAACGAACCACCTTTGAGGACGAGCCCAGTGAGAAGAACTCACATGGACTATCAAACGGCGTCAAAGGTGGTTACATACGAGAAGGTGAGATGGGCTGTAAAGACATTCGCACCATTTAAATCACCAGGGGAAGATGGAATATTTCCGGCCCTCCTACAAGAGGGACTGGACACCATCATTTCCCTGCTTATGAAGATATTTCGGTCCTGTCTGGGTCTGGGCCACATACCAGTGGAATGGAGATCGGTTAGGATCGTATTTATCCCGAAACCAGGGAAAACAGATTATTCCGATGCCAAAGCGTATAGACCCATCAGCCTCACGTCTTTCCTCATGAAAACACTGGAGAGGCTGATAGATCGATACATCAGAGATGTGCCACTGCAAATAAACCCGCTGCATGCACAACAATATGCCTATCAGACTGGGAAGTCCACAGATGCGGCTCTCCATCATCTTGTCCATAAGATAGATGGAGTGCTAGCTGGTGGACGCTCAGCCATGGGAGTCTTTCTAGACATAGAAGGAGCATTTGACAATACGTCATTTGAATCGATATGCCATGCCGCGGATAGACATGGGGTCCATCAAACCTTGACCAGGTGGATTAGGGCCATGCTATCGCAGCGAGTGGTAAAAGCAGAACTATGTGGGAGGTCGGTTGCTGCCAAGGTATCAAGAGGATGTCCTCAAGGAGGGGTTTTATCACCACTACTATGGTGCCTGGTAGTAGACGAGCTCCTCATAGATTTGAATAGGCCAGGGCTATATGCGCAAGCATATGCAGATGACTTGGTAATAATGGCCCAAAATCAATCGGCGAACCGGCTAGGGAATCCAATAATGGAAGCCCTCAATAAAGTGGAACAGTGGTGTTCCACCAGTGGATTGAGAGTCAATCCAGAAAAGGCGAACTTGGTATTATTCACTAAGAAACGCAAAATAGGAACACTTCCTGAGATATTTCTCTCGGGAAAGTGTCTCCAATATAAAAGCTCATCAAAGTACCTTGGAGTTATAATAGACTCCAAGCTCACTTGGAATGAGCACATTGCAAACCGCACTAAGAAGGCTGTATGCTGCTTCTGGGCATGCAGACGAGCCTTTGGAAAAACATGGGGTCTCACACCCAAGACCCTTCACTGGATATACACGGC